AGGGCTTTCATACTTTACATATATAATCCTTGTGACAAGACCTTCCTTTGGATACCAACAACTTTGACCTTGACCTTGATGTTTTACTTACTTTTAAAAAACTTTAACCTTCGCCATAACTCTTGAACAGCGCAGCAAGGGCTTTCAAATTTAACATTTTTTTTATCTTTTGGCCTGGATTTTGACTTGCATTTGAGAAACTTTAACCTTTGCCATAAGCTGCCATACGGGGGCATCAGTGTTTCACAAACACATCTTGTTTAAATATATTTTTGAACCTGTATGAGAGAATCAAGCTCTTGGTTTCCTAAGTTGATCCAGAGACCAAGCAAGACAAAGAATGATGAGGGTCGAACCTGGCTATTGCTGAACCATGTGATGGTAAAGATAACATGGCTACATCATCATCAGTATCACAGCTTGCCATCGCCTTGGGCCTTGAAACGTTACGGTTGCTTATAGGCTTTGGTTTCTGGTTCATTGTTTGTGTTACTTTCCATTGGCAGAGTTCTGATGTATAACTCTGTTCTCCTTGCAAAGGTGTTTGTGTAGTGGATTGCATATGGTGAAGAGCAACCCCCCCCCCCCCCCAATATGACTACATGCTTGAGTTAATCTGTATATGTAATTTACAGAAAATAATAACACATATTATAGCAACCTAATATTAGAATAATATGAAATGAAAAAAATAAATTTCATCTGTTATTTTGAAGAGAGAAACTGAGAAAAATTTCCCTATGGGTCATTGACAGTAAGCAAAGTCCACCTTGTTTGAGCCATCAGCATTACTTATGCGCCTAAAAACCTGGTAAAGCTGTGTTTTCATTGATGCTAAGCAAAATGCTCAAATGTTCACTGTGGATTCATCAATCTGAAATTTTAGTAAAAATTTTATTTTAATTATATTGTCATTTTTTGAAAAATGACATCAAGATTCTTTCAGAACGTTGAGTACGGATATAACTGTTCTTTATTTTCCATCCCTGTTTTTTGTTCAAATTTATAATATTGGTAGAAAATTGTTCATGAAAAATGTAAGTTTTGTGTCAGAACCACAGGCCTACTGATATGTTGATGGTTTGATTTTTTCCATTATATACTCCAATATGTCAGTGGGATTAAAGCAATCTGAGGGCCTGTATTTAGAACAAATAAGGGAATGGATTAGTTTATTTAAACAAAATTAAATTTAATAAAATATTGAATTACATGTGCAACAATTATGTATTTTCAATGGTTACATAAGGATATCCATTTAATCAAGAGTAGAAGGGGGTGAGGGGGTGGGGTACAATGGTGGATGTTTTGCAATTTTTGTTAAATTAGCCAAAGGTTATTTTTTTATGCTTTTACAGGACAAGGTGTTGTAACAATCATGTCTTCTCCTGGACTTGTTTCTGTGCGTATTTTTCCGTATTATTTCAACTACGGCGATCCAAAACTTAATACTGCTTTTGACTTTCGACTCAAAAAAATAAATTTGAGTTTCATAGCCATGTACAATCTTATTTATTTTCCATGATTTAAAATTTTTGAAAATATCGAGTTACGGTGGGGTCAGAACTAAACCAGCTCAATTTTGGTTTTTACGAGAAAACCTTTCGCTTAATCTCTCTTGAGCTTTAACCGTTCCCGCAAAATTGGTTAAAACACCTAACTAATTAATACCAAAAAACCCTGTAACACCCTCCACTATTCTCCTTTAATTGTCAACTTTGTGATTTTCTCACAACAGCGTCTTTTTTACCCAATATTTTGCACAAGATTCGATAATAGCATGCTATGTTTGACACACTCTTAAACTATCCCATAGCTATAGGAGCTTCTGAACATAACTTCATATGATAGACTGTAGTCTACGTAAACATTTTTCCAACTGGCAGTTGTCTGTTAGCTTGCATCCGAGTAATGAACAAAAGTTGACTTTAGAATTTTACTTCACTGAAATTGTGTCTCATGTTACGTCATTTTTGTGGTCAATATGCTAGACATTCGAGATTTTGATGTCATTTTCGGAGTTATTACGGAATATTTACATTTCCAATAAAATTCCCTTATGATCCTCTACAAAATAGAGGACAGTTCATTTTCTCATGAACTACCATGAATGGGCATGAATATCTCTATTGTTACGTCATAATACCGCACTTGACGTCAAAAGTATAGTGCAAACTGTTTTGCTTTAAAAATGACAAAGGAATGGCGTTAATTGTTGCAAATCATAAAAAAAATAATGTAAATATAAAAAATGAATTTAATTTTTGAAAATTCATGAGGTACATGAACTACAACGCTTCACGCCGGCATATTTATCATGAAGCGCTAACGCGCTTCATGAAATATGCCGGCGTGAAGCGTCGTAGTTCATGTCCTCATAAATCTTAAAAAAATAAATTCATTTCTTAAATAAAATTTACAAAGTGACGTCACAATATGAGTATATTTTTGTGATCTGTCCAATGATACCAAATTCAGTAATTTCCGTTAAAAGGTTAATATTTTATCAAACAGTTCTCAGAAGTTTTCAAATGCCCCTCCTATAAGGCCTTTTCTTCGTAAGTCTGTTCTTAGAATTTAAGAATATGTCTATTAAATATAATTCCCATAACCAGGGTTTTCCTTCTGTTAGGTTGCCTGCAAGAAATAATTTATGATATACTTAATCCAAATTTGATTCAGATACATGTATATTTTATAAGTAGTATTCAATACAGTCTGCAGATATGTTGGAGAGGTGTATAAAGATGAATGAGGGTATTTTTTGCAAAAATTGAAACTGACACAGTACATGTATGTAATTAGAAATCAAACACAAGCGCGAGGTCAAATGCCGGACATTTCAGATGAAGTATATTTCCTAGTTGACAGGAGGTTATATGGAAGCCATACATTTATGAATGCATTGGTACAACTCGAATATTTCTGATACCAATTTTCAATTCAGAAAACGTGGCAAATAATTTGCTCTAATGTCATTAAATAATACTTTTGTTTATTGCTCTCATTTGTGCACAATTAATATGATGTGCAGGTTGGATTTTTGACGGTAAATTTTCTACATGCGAACGAAGGTACTAAGTTATAATAAAAATCAACACATGCTATTAATGAGGTATTTGAAATCTTAAGACATAATTTTGCATGAAAGACATCGTATTTCTTGCTTATCCTCCTTTGTAAGAAGTAATAGACATCCAGGAAATTAAAGTCTGCTCATATTAGTATTGGACATGTCCTCTGTATATAGTATATTAAGGATTCAATTTTGAATAAAATTTTATTTTTGTGTTAAGGAAAGGGTATGTAATTGTTGATAAGATGTTCTTAAAAAGGATATTTCACTTTTTTACTGATTTGTAAATATTTTTGTGAACATAAAGGCTTGAGCTAATGAACTACGATATGGGTACCTATATGTTTTACAATATATTTTGGTAAAAAGACAGATGACCAATGCATTTATCATGGCTATCAGATACTTCAAGCATCGGTTTCTGTACATGGAAAAAAATTATTCTGGGTACACACATCAATTATTCTAATAGGGAGCTTTATGTGAGTTTTGAGCTTTGTTAATTTTAAAAAAAATTAGATTAATTTTTTAATATTTTCTTAGCTTTAACCAGTAAAGTGTACTGCAGCCTGTAATTATTCAAAATTATCCTTATTCTTGTGAACTATGTTTAAAAGAATTTATTTGCCATGTGAAATGACGTAAAATATAGACCGCCTTTATAACAGTCGTGATTTTGTTTTTGGTACAAGAGGGTACATGAGTGTTTCACATACTATCTCTGTAAAAATATAGATCATCTATCTTTTTTTTTTTTTTTTTTTTTTTTTTTTTTTTTTTTTTTGAAGTAAAGTATAATTTTCTTAATGTAAATCAGGACAAAAATTGCACTGTTAACAAATTGATTCTACAAGTATGGACCTACCTTAATTTTTTTTTCTGTTGATGTTTGGGATAAGGCTACCAAGAAGTAAAATTAAAAAAAAAAAACAGTACGCTACAGTAAATATCAAAAAAAGTCTTTGTGGCTTTTCAACACTGGGTTTTTTCGCTGATTGTTTTCGCCATTTGCTTGATTGCAAGATATAGCGCCACACGACTTTTCAAAGATGAGGCTTTCTAAAGCTTTCATTGAGATCGACGTTTATGATTTCTACTAAGAAAAGCAGAATAAAAAAAAAAATAGATAAATTTATTCTTTCAAATCTGTAATTAATTTTTCCACAATACGTGACACGAATGTGTTCACGAATCAACGGCATGTAATGATCAATGCATTATATTATCTTTTATAAATGTCTGCGTGTTGTTTGCTTGAAAGAATTCGAATCTTTAATTATAGATAAAAGATACAACAATCGTCCACTATAATACTTCGATATTTTCTCTAAATAAGCTAGCTTACGATTTTAGATTTTATCTGCTGTTTAAAACGTATATTTCAATACCTACAGGTAATAACAGGTAATATCCATGGACGCCAACTGTTTGTGTATAGGGATAACCCAGATAGCATGAGGACATTGGCCCAACGTTGGCCCAACAATGATGGTTATGTTGGGCCAATGTTGGCAATTTACGTTGGCCCAATGCCCTATTGCTCATTGGCGCGATGTTGGCCCAACATGTTGGCCCTATGTTGGTACAACACTGTTTGTTTATATGTCAACGTTGGTACAACGTTATTCCAACATACCAACGCCAACTCAATATTTTGTAACGTTGGCCCAACTTTGGACCTCAGTTCAAAATACAATTATAACGTTGGTCCAACATTGGTACAGCGCTTTTGTTGAAATGTTAACGTTGGTACAACGTTATTCCAACATACCAATGCTAACTTAATATTTTGTAACGTTGGCCCTACGATGGACCTCAGTTTAAAATTTAATTATTACGTTGGTTCAGCGTTGGTACAACGCTGTTTGTTGAAATGTCAACGTTGACACAATTATTCCTGATTACAAATGTCTTACAAAATCAATTAAATTCTGTAACTTTTTTATTTCCAAGATTATACGACACAATTAATTTCACCAAGTTTGGCCAAATAAATTTTTCCTCCTAAAAATGTATCACAGTATATCCTTTGTCACTTTCATTAAATTATCCAGTGGAATGTAACTAAAAGTAGGAAGAGGTAGAACGTTCAATCTTTCTCAAGTATATTCCACATCACTATGTCCACTACAAAATGTCGCGTTGATATATGAGTCTTCAAGTTCTAATTTGTAGAGTTTTGGAAGGTCACATTTGAATCATTCATTCCTTTTTCTGTTGTTAATCTGTTCCTAGAATCCATATCTCCCACACATATTAATCAGTTCCTTCCATATGAAGAAAATGCCACATCAATAGTCTCATAATATAGAAGGCTTTTCCATCCCGCCAATTCCTATATTCGTTAAGAACGTCATCAATTTAAATAATATTTTCAAATGTTTAATCAGCACCCCGGGACTGATAATTTAAAAGCTTACAAGCCGTTATAATTTTGAAACACATAGATATTTTTAAAGCAATTCTTTAGTTTGAATTTCACATTATTAATTATAAATAACAAATACAAAAACTATACTTACATTTCAAGGGTTAAAATTCTTGCGTTCACTAACAGACACATATGCTTTGTTCAAGTGCTGTACGTGACGGTTTGTGAAAAAAAAAATCTGATTAACATGCCGGTTTCCTTGGAGACCAATGAGTCACCTGCCGAGCTAGTGAATTTCACCACTGACCTATTTATTTGGAGCTTTAAATCTCAGCACTTTAAATTTAATTCAATGATGCTAAATATAGAATCTACCGAGATACAACATTTACCTATGTAATTCACAGATTTTTAAAGTTTGTTTCATAATTTTCCATTTAATATAATATAGATCAATGTTTATAATGAGTTGCTTATTACATTACCATCGATGTACAATAAATAAACCTAAATTGATGAATGACACTTTTCACAATATTGGGCCAACGTTGGACCTGCATTTCATCTCCAACATTACAGGCTACCGGTACATGTAATCCCAATATTACCTCTATTGGACCAACTCCAGCCAAGTGTTATGTTATAAAATAATAGCTGCTAGTACTGCTAGTCCTTTTTGTTCTTTTTAAACCTGAAGTAATACTTACAGTAAGTTAATATCAATTTTTGAGACTTTACAGATGCATCCTTTTATTTTTTATATGTTCATATTTAAACGTAGGATATGTCATTATTCATTTTCCCAGATAGCAAGACATTGTTGGGCCAACGTTGGCCCAATTTTTTTTTTCCAACGTTGGCCCATTGTTGGTAGTCCTACGTTGGCCCACGGTCATTTTGCTCATCAGCCCAACGTTGGTCCAACATGATGGCATATTGTTGGGCCAACGTAGGTATAATTGTAAGCCAACTAACAGCCAACCTTAACAACTGGTTGGTTAGGTTGGCCCAATGTTGGGCCTTTGTTGAAATGTCAGATGGCATATTGTTGGGCCAACGTAGTTATTATAGTAAGCCAACTAACAGCCAACATAGAAACAACATTTGCAATCGGTTAGATAGGTTGGCCCAACGTTGACCCTTCTTCTTGAAAATACGTTTATAAATAATTCTTTATATAGACCTTTTCTTATAATTGTTTAAAAAAAATAATACACACTTCAACCTGCATTCATAATGCATACACGTTCAAAAAAACATTACAAGTCATTCACTGTAAAATTATTTTATAGATATATATCAATTCAATCAGAATTTACAAAATTACTTTTAAAATAGATAAAGTTGGAAATGTTTGAAAAAATATTAGTTTAAAGTTCTTAATCCTGGCTCACTTCCTCTATCACTGTCCTTTTGTTTTGTTTCCCGCTCTTTCTTTTTACCGCCCTTTCTCGCCTCCCCAGGCCTCCATCTTGATCTTAGGCATACGTACTTCATACAGTCCTTTATGTTCTTCAGTTTCATTGTCAGTTACCGCTACAACATTTGTTTTCCTTACAGTCTCAAATAATTTGGTATTGGAAACAAAGCAAATACTGGTACAGACTCCAATATATAAATCATGTAATTAAGTCTTTTAAAGACAACGATGTAAAATACTACTAGTACATGTTGATCTATAAACTTTAGTATCCTTGTTAAAATTATAATCGTGTATGCAATAGACAACAGATAGAGACAAGTTGAAAGATGTTTTTTACCTTACTTATTATTGTATTTCTTAATGAGCACTATAGAGGTTATTGTAAATAAAAGTTAAAAGTACATGTATGTGCCAACTGTATACACCGGCATATATAATTCATATTTACATTAACTTATATAGTGCTTGTGAGCATAAACAAGAAAAGGATGAATTCCGAACAATTTTAACAAGTAAACTTGAATTAATATGAATAATTATACTTACATCGCTTCTAAGATGTAGCTGTAACAATGGTATAATCCATAGTTTTTAAATCTCCCTTCTTACTTGCTCTGCATTTTGAGTCTATCACCCACCTGTGAGCAATTGAATCTGACAGCTCACCCAACAGTTTGGTGTTTTAATCGCCGCGACTCTCCAAGCTTTAGCGAACGCCTAACTTTCGTTTCAATTTAATTATAAAGCTGTGTTATCTTGATTTATGTATATGTAGGCTTCATTCACATCCTGTTTTTGGTAACTTTTTAAATGTTATTCAGTCTTCTCTTATTCTCATGAATACAACGCTCATAAATAATTCATAATTTAGAGCTAAGGATTTTAAAACTAATAACCATGCACCCACTTCAAAAAAAAAATAACAGAACAAAAAAACTTGTTGGTGCTGTGATCACTTTAGTTCAAAGATAAGAATGGTGAAAATATCAGATCTAAACAGATGCAGTCATCCAATTAAATGCAAGGACATCGAATGCCCTCTATTATTTCAGAATGTGCATCTAAGTTAATGTTTTGCAATCAAATAAGCTTGCAACACAACAGTTTAATGGGGCAACATTTGGAACATAACGATTTAAGAACTTGGAACCAACTTTGGCCCAACATAACGCTCATCAGCTTACATAGACACCATCATTTAGTTGGCAGTACAATAATTGGGCCAACACTGGCCCAATGTAAATATCCCATCTTGAAACACTTATACATGCTAACATCGGGCCAACGCTGGGCCGACGTACTACTACCAACTTGATTAGACATTTTCAGTAAGGGTGTATTACAAACGTTTGGCCAACGTTGGGCCAACATTAGAATCCTAACTCCCTTTGAAAGTTGAGCGAATATAGAAGTTGGTTACGTTGGACCAACGTAGGGCCAACGTAGGAATCCCAACATGATCAAGAAGGTTGACATGGTTACATTGGTCCAACGTTGGCCCAACGTTGTCCACCCAACGCCAACCATACAACCATTTACCAATGTTGGCCCAAGGTAGTCATGCTATCTGCGTTTGAATCATTTGACAGTGTCAGACATGCTTTAATATGCATATTCTGTCACTTTTTAAACGAAAACAAGGTTAAGTTGGAGATATATTACTTTTTGCATGCGTTTGTATATAAATAAACAAATAGAATTGTTTGCGTAAAAAAAAAAAAAAAAACAAATAGTTCCCAGATAGCTTGACTACGTTGGGCCAACATTGGTAAATGGTTGTATGGTTGGCGTTGGGTGGACAACGTTGGGCCAACGTTGGACCAATGTAACCATGTCAACCTTCTTGATCATGTCATCACCTGACATATATTACATATGATACAAGATACTGCTGCTATTATGAAGACTCTGAAAGTCTGCCTTTTAAAAAAAGTGCATGTCATGGATGACTTGGCAGGCTATTTAATTTTTACAACAGCTAAATAAATACCTTACGCAGCACTGTTAAGGTGTACTTCGAAGAAATCAACAGAATATAGACGTGCATAAATACATACCTTTTTAAACTGAATTTATTTTTGTAAAGGTACTATATTATCTGATGACTTTAACATTCTTTGAAATAACATTGTATACCCCGCTCTGTACTGAATTTAGTTTGGTCACTTTATTTGATAGTCATGTGATAAATGCATGTAATGTGTACTGTATGTAGGTCACAAACAAATTTCAATATCGCAAGGGCATACCCTAGTAAAAATTAAAAATTAAAGTAATAGATTGTTTCTACATAATTTGTAGTTTATGGAAAGTGTTGTTGCTCTAAATAGAATTCGCATTTTATTAGTTTAAATTTCAAGTTATCTGGCTAATGTTGATATGAGTGAGCTTTACCAAGTATTTTACGTATTTATTAAGTTATGCTATCGATTTCAGGAAAGCAGCAGCACTTTTCAAGTTAAGGAATCTGTCTGTTGTGTGTATTCAAAAAATGGTCACAAACTATTAAGTGTATGCCCTTGCGAAAAATCGATTTAATGAGGCCCCTCGGCGTGAAACATGCACATCATGTAAACAAAACAGGATTCTCTCGATATTTTTCAAATAATGGCACTAAACAAACGTTTCAGATTTGCATTAATGGTCTACCTAAGATTTGCAAGTAATATTCTATTTAATAATTAAATGCACTTTTCACTGTGAAAAAATAACTTGATCCGCCTCTCACTGCACATAAAAATGCGTCAAACTTCACCATGATGACGTCATATCGACAAGTGCATTGCGATCAGTGACTTGTTTATATCGTGTTGTGTGGGATTTAACTAGCGACAAAAATGAATGCAGTGGTAAGTTTTGATGTAGTTCATTACTCTTATGCAGTTCAGATTCGCAAATAATATCATTTTCTGTTATTGTGAAGAACTGCTATATTTGTGTGATGTCACAGTAAACATTTCCCGTATAAATTAGGCCCCGCCCCTTTTATGTAGCCTTAACAAAGCTGCGTACTTTGTTTTCAAAACAATTTATTACAATGGCAGTAATTAGTTTTTGCTTATTATTTTACGTAAAATGCTTCTTTACTAATATATTTTATATCTGAAGAATATACGTTATATAAAGACTATTTTTTCACAAAAAAATTGAGACCTTTTTTTGGATGACATATGAAGATAACGAACAGTATTCAATCTCAAAGGTTCAATGAAACGATACGAATTCGGAGCAGAGCAAATCTGGACCTCAAAATTTAGAGGTGGGATCAGGTGCCATGGAGGAGTGAGCATCCCCTGCCAACCGGGTTTACCCGCTGTGTGCTCCTTGTCATGATCGGGAAACAAAAACCGGACATATCCGTAGACAGTTCAGTGTATAAATAATGATCTAACAATTAGTATGAAAAACCTCAGTCAGTATTTGACTCAACGACAGGTTGTATGTGTTGACAAGGTCATTGTATCGACCGAAAAACTTGCGAAAAGATGACTTCAAACGAGAATGTTGATATCATTGTTTCGTCAACTTGTTTGTCAATAGCTTGCATCGTTTTAGAAATTGTTCATACGTAGAGGACGCTTTTGATTATCGAATCAACTGAGAGACATAAACCCCATATGCAGGTGAGAAGAGTTTATTGCTACATTAGTAAGGGAAGTTAAGGATTGAATAGTTGAAGTCATCACATTTATCATAAAGCTTTGTTGTTAGGTTACCATTAACCTCTTTTTCTAATAACACATCTAAATATAAAACAGATGTGTCAGGATCTGTGGTATCTTTTATTTCAAGATGACAGGGATATATCGAGTCAATATA